AAGCCGTCATCGCCGCGGCGATTCGCGCGTTCGTGCGGAAGGCCCTCCCGTTGGAAGGGCTGAGTAATCAAAAGGCCCATCTCACCCAACCGCGCTACGCGGAATGGCGGCGGCACCGGATTAACGCCCTCGCGCGGGGGTATGTCTCGTTGATTACGTCGAAAACGATCCCGCCGTGGTTGGAGCGGAGTTATGTCCATCATAACGCGACCTGGCGGCCGATTTTCCACCCGCAAACGAGCGGCTCCCACGCCGGGGTGGAGCCTCGTCGACAACACAAACTCATGGACGGCGTCGTCGCCGAGGCGGTGTGGTTTCGCCGCGAGCAGCTCGCCCGGCGAAAGGGCGGGCGCGCGAAGTTCGGCCGACGGGCTGCCTCGCAAGGGGTTTGGAATGATATCGGCGGTATTGCCTTTCGCGAGGGCGTGAATAATACGGCTCGGTATAGCGCGCATCCCGCAGGGGCGGAGTTTGGACCCCCCAAGGGGCCGCCACCATAAAAAGAAAAAGAGGAAAAGAAGAGTCTACGGAGGGGTGGGCTGTTTGCGTTTGGGGGAGGCAAAGTGTGGCAGGGAGATTTGGTTAGATAGCCTCCTTGCTTCACACGCTAAAACATCGCATTGGTGTTTTTAGTACAGTTGTGAAAAAGAAAATGGATGGTTCGATATCAGGTTTGTTTGTCTTCACACCAATTTCATCACTTTTGAGATCTACCTGTCGTTGTTTTATTATTTTTATTTTCATTTTCATCAAAATAAAAGAGGAAAAGGCCGCAATCATCTCAAATTAAAATGTCGCATCGTCATTTCATCCGAGAGCACATTCGCAACCACCTGAACCAACTCGTAATTCTTGCAGAGAGGGAGTTTAACAGTGCCAGTACTAACATTCATACTCATAATACAAGCGGTGTATTGCGTATCGCCACCCATAACGGGCACTTTCATACCGATGAGGCCCTCGCCTGCGCGCTGCTTCGCCATACCAAAGCTTTCCGAGGCGCCCAGCTTGTTCGGACGCGGAATATGGATATCATTAACGCCTGCGATGTCGCCGTTGATGTCGGAGCCGTCTACGACGAGGAAAAGTATCGTTTTGACCATCATCAGGCTTCTTTTAGCGGGACCATGCAAACCAGTAAAAAGTTATATTTGACTAGACTGTCGTCGGCTGGGTTGGTCTATAAACATTACGGGCGAGAGATTATTGAAAATTTCCTAGAAGCCACCTTGAACTCGCCCGCGCGTAGCGCTTTTTTGAAGATGGCAGGACGGAAAGAAGAAGATTGCGCAAAGTTTGTTTCGAAAGAGGAGCTTGAACTGATCTTTGATGCGGTGTATTCGAGCTTCGTGGAGGAGGTTGATGGAATTGATAACGGCCTGGACCCTTACACAATAAAAGGAGACGAAAATAAAGTGGAAGGAGTGGAAATTGTGAAGCGGTATATACAAACGACAACGTTATCAAATCGCGTGGGCAGGTTAAATGCATCCTGGAATGAGGAAAAGGGGGGTAATAATCATATCGACAGCGAAAACGCACGATTTGCCGAGGCGATGGAGCTGACAATTAGCGAATTTTTTGAGGCGGTGTTTAACTGTGTTTTTGTTTGGCTGCCCGCCCGCGCGATTGTCGAGGAGGGTTTTCATGCCGCATCGAACCTTCACACAAGTGGGCAAATTTTTTGCATGCGGAGGTTTTGTCCGTGGAAAAATCATCTTTTTGATCTTGAAGAAGAACATCACTGCGAGGGGCGCTTTTTATTCATGATTTATCCTGATTTAAAGGGCTGGCGAGTGAACGCGGTGCCGAAGAAGGATTCCGGATTTGAAAATCGCGTACCTTTGCAGTATCGTGGATTGCGCGACGAAAAGCTGAGTGAAGCGAGCGGAATCGCTGACGGGATATTTGTACACGTTTCAGGGTTTACCGGAGGGATGAAAACGTACGAGGGGGCTCTACAGCTCGCGATTAATTCCCTCCCAACAACCTCCTCAGAGTAAAGAAAATCCTACAGTAATGTATGGCCTAAAAGGGAGATTGATATCCTTAACAAACCACTCTATCACTTTAAAAGGTAATTAAAAACTAATAATGGGCAGGATCGCCCTCACTTCTCGAAGTTCTATGAATAAATGCGAATTTTTGTATACCGTCGTTTAACTTTTTGTAGTTTGTCCTTGGTTCGATTTATGAGGAAAATGCGCTCAACGTTCGTCGTTCCGGCGGTGGTAGTCTGATTAATTCTTTTTTTTCTCACACACGGATATATGCTAATTTGCTATACATGGATTACGGCGGTGGAACTCCATTTCACTATTTTCTCCAGGACCTCCGGGGCCCAAACCCTTGTGGCTTGTGTCTCCCAATGCGTGGGTGCGGTTGTGAACTGCGCAAATGAATCTCTCTTGGGTTTTATCTTTATCCTGTTACCCATTCCCCGGCTTACTTCCTTGTCTCACTTTTGCTGTGTAGGTGTTTTCGTAGTATTGGCATTATCATTTT